TCACCGACATGGACTTCAAGATTCCACTGGACCAGTACAAGGCCCATAATCTAGTGATCCACGGATGGCCCAAGTTGATCTACGAGAAGAAGAGCTGGACTAGCATCAATGCAGGCGTGTTCTTGATTAGAAATTGCCAATGGGCTATGGACTTCATGGATGTGTGGGCCAGTATGGGCCCACAGGCCCCTGGCTATGATAAATGGGGTGAAATTTTGAGTACAACTTTTAAAGATAAGATTTTCCAAGAATCAGATGATCAATCTGGCTTAGTTTATTTATTACTAAAAGAAAAAGAAAAATGGGGAAATAAAATATATGTGGAGGGTGAATATTATTTCGAGGGGTATTGGATGGACATTGTTGGTAGACTTGATAATATCACTGAAAAGTACAATGAAATTGAGAAGAGGGTGCGCATGTTAAGGCGGCGCCATGCTGAGAAGGTGAGTGAGAGTAATATTCCGGTGTGGGAGGAATACCTGAAGGATGCTGGGTTTGGGCGAGATGGCTGGCGCAGACCATTCATCACACATTTCACTGGGTGTCAACCCTGCAGTGGGGACCACAACAAGATGTATTCTGGTCAGACTTGCTTCGATGCCATGCAGAAGGCTTTAGCTTTTGCTGATAATCAGGTGCTTAGGAATTATGGATTTATGCACCAGGATCTCCAGGATCCTTCCACCGTGAATCTTGTGCCGTTTGATTATCCTGCATGAGAGGTCAGGTATAGTAAAACAGTAAACTTAGAATTTGGTTGTTTCAGCAAAATGTACTTCGGAATTTACATATGTATAAAAGTTTTCAAATAAAAATTATACTTCAATTATCAGGTTTAATTACTTGGCCTGCATATGCTGATATTACCATGAAGAAGTGTATAGTAGTTGATAGTATTGACGAAGGTATTCTTCATTATGTGACAAAAAAAAAAAAAATTCAAGACAATTGTTTAGTAATGACAAATCTAAGTATTGAGATAAGAATGAGATTCGGGTATTGAAAGAAGTTAAAAAAATTAACTCGAGATAATATATAATAGGAAATATCCAGGATAAAAAATTCAATTCTAGTCTCATTGGCCTTTAAAAACTGTTTATACTTTATTTTCACTTTCTTGGAATAAATTCTCAAAATTCAAATAAATTTTCGTTGTTGCTTTTCAACCCAAATCCTAAATAAATTCGGAGGTACAAATAGTAGATGTTTAAACAATCAACCAATACGATTTCATCCAATGGATTTATACATGACGTGGACTGTGCATACTGTTCCTAATATGATAAGGTGTGTCTTGTTGTAGATGTTTTATGAGTGGATGAATTATAATCGTGATTCCATTATACAAGTAAAGGAAATACGAAAATTTTGTTAGATGAAGATTATGCCCAAGTTTATGAGTTACTCAAATCATTGTGGTAGTTATCCGAAAAAGACGGTTAATTCAGTTCTCAAAATTCTATAGATTCGACAGAGAGTAGAGAACAAGGACGTATCAAATAAAAAAGTTTATGAATGCTATTGGGTCAAGGGTCCAAAACACATATTGACAATAAAAAATATTTGTGTTTTTTCTCGTCCCATTGTGCACCCTACCATAGCAATAATTTGTCGACATAAATTATGAACTCTAGTTTTCAGTAAGTTTAATTTTGACTTTAAATCATGTTTTAAATTGAATAATTGATTTTAATCATATATTTTATGGGACTAGTAGCTTTAATCAACTTTTTAAAAGCACATTTCGTCAAATTTTATCAAAATCTGTTAAAATTTTGATTTTTCATAAAATCAAACAAGGGTTAATAATCTTTGAATCCACAATTTGTCCTCTATATATATATGTATAGAAAAATTTCTTGAGTACAGGAATTTAAAATGTTTCAATCTTGTTTGTATGTGTGAATTTTTCCTCCTCCATTCTTTTAATTATTTCCCTTCATTTCAAATTTTCGTATGTTTTATGTGAAAAATTCTTCTACTCATAGCAGGGTTCATGTGTACAATTGAATGATGTGTGTTGTAATCTAGATATAAACACGTGTCACGTTTCAAAAAATTTCAAGTACAAATAAATAATTAAGCCAACTTTATACTCAATTACGCATTGAAGAGCTTCATTTTATAGTTGTTTAGGGTCATGCTACAATAATAAATATAATATACGAATTAAGCACTTGTGGTTGATCGCTAGCTGTCAGAAAATGAAAATTTAGAGGACAGATATTCTACATGCTATAAGTCAAAAAAAGTACAGGCTTTAGAACAAGTCGTTGTAGTATAGTGGTGAGTATTCCCGCCTGTCACGCGGGTGACCCGGGTTCGATCCCCGGCAACGGCGCTTTTAATTTTTTCTTCTCTCTCTCGCGCTCAGAAACACAAATTACAAATTCAAGAGTTTCTTTTCTCAAATTGATGCAGTCATTTTAATCCGCATTATTTCAAAATGGATGGAATTTTCTCACATCTCATCACAAGCTAAATTGAAATTATTATATGCCAAAATCTAATGTTTCAAGCTTTTACAATTTCTTGCTAATATTTGGTGGTTATACTATGTGGGTTATATATATATATATATATACACACACAACCAATACGTCTCATTTATGCATTTAATTGCCCTTTCTACATTATTCAAAATTGCTCCAAAACCTTAGCCAAAGCCGCACCGTAAAAACAAGTTACGAAGGAATTATAAAAGTTTCTATATTTTAATTGTTCAATACAAAATAAACAATAAACATGTTTTCCCAATGAATAAAATATACTCCAGCTATACTTCAATGTATAGGATATATGCAGCTGGTGAATGTTCTGGTAAAATGGTAATATTCTTGGATCTCTTCACATCATAAAACAGCTTGTATACTCAGCTAAAATATTCTATTTTTCACAATGTTCTCTTTCCATTTTTGGGAAGCCAATGCAACCGATGTTATGAGTTTTATAGTGTATTGCATCTTCAGACAATGCTACTTATTCATCTTGGCATCTTCTGCCTAGAATTTATGAATTTCTTCCTTCGTGTATAGTTGTGTGGAGATAATAAGCAGGCGATCAAGGAAATCGATTAGAACACCATGTGGTGATTTGTAGCTAGAGCCTCAAACAGTAGTAGTAGTAGTAATACCCGTGTGGCTCAATTAAGGAATCAAATGCACTCGATGTCAAGCATGTACACTTCATCAATGAACAGGACATCTGGCAAAATCTCGAGTTTCCCTTCCTCCACTCTGCCACCTTAGTGTCAATTTTTTTCCTCACTTCTGCACGAATTTCCAGTATTGCCGGTGAAGAGAGCTAGCTGAAATCAGGAGAGGATGCTATAATCGCAGAAATATTCAATTATCTAACAATGAAGAATGAAAGCTAATCACATTACGGTTCTAAGGAAAAAATAAAATTATACCAAATTTCTGAATCTCAAACCTCAAATATTTTTCCATGTTTCGAATAATGATGCATATACTAATTGATGTTCCCTAGAACAATCAGACAAACCATATGAATATTCATACAATGTTAAAATCAGAAATTCTAGTTATAGATTGAAAAAACAAAGTCTTAATTGGTGCCCTTTCCAAGATCTAAAAGTTAGCAGGGCAACAATCACAATTTGATCTAAACACCTTGATTATTATGCAATTTGTCAAGGTTTCCTCTACATAATATTGCTACTATTGAGCTAAATACTAATATGTTTTCTATTTGTGCATACCTAATATTGGTATTCAAAATAAGAAATGGACAGAGTAAGATGCAAGTTGTAGAGCTAATGGATGATTCACTGAATGATTCATACGATACAATATCTTCCTCCAAGATGACCAGCACAGTTTTCATGATATGAAACAAAAGAGAAGCAAGAGAAACATAACAAAGGAAAAAGAATACATAACATGTTTATGACCTGGTAAATTTACATACGAACTGTTTTTTACTGTCAGTAAATTTTCCATCCTATAATTTATTTTCCAGATTTCTCGGCTTATGAGCATCAAAACTTATATTCTTCACTGCCTTTCCTAGAGGCGTAACTGAGATTTCCTTTGATATATGAACTGAAAGTTGCTCCATATATTTTCAAATAGTTAGCTCAATTCCTATCCAAGTGATTTGTCAATTATGAATTACTTTTGTCGTCTAATAAAGTTTTGGTTAGTTTCATTGTTGATCACAACGGATTTCATATATTATCATTCTTTATAACTAGGTAACTCACCTAATTATTAACAAAAATCGATTTTTTCTTCCCAAAGTGTGCCACTCATATGGTGCAAAAATCATCAGTCCACATAGTTTCCTCTGTGTCTTGCTAAAATGCTCTTGCACAACTGTAACATCTCAAGTGTAAAGCCAAGGACATATCAAAGCAGATGCAATTTTGCACAATATCTTCAAATTCAATTTATAAAGTACTTCCATTCTTCCATGAAGGAGAGTTTCTCAATGCTAGAGTATGTTCATGCAGATAATTAAATTATTCTCGCTTGCACCATTTACTGTATATAAATCAATGAGGAAATGCAGTTTTGACATTATGTAAATAATAAAATGAGTTTTCTCTAACTGCATACAACTTGAGAGTGCATTGAAGTTAAGCTTAGAACAAGAAAATTACAAATTTACATAAAACTGTCTACACAAAAATTCCAAGACATTCAACAAATAGTGGTTTTCTACAATCTTTGATTGATAGTGCAAGGTGAGGACATAAACGTACCAATATACCTGTTGCTGAAAACATTGATCTCATGAAGAGTAATGCAATGCACAACCTTCTTCTTCTGCAGCTCCCCATTAGGGCACTGCACAAACTTGGTCTGTGGCCCCATGGCATCATAATCCGTAGACCTCGAGAATGACCTCCCAAGCTATGTGATCTTCCCTGAGGCCTTATGGATTGCAATAATGTTCCCACTCTGCACCTTTTCCTTCTCCAAGGTCTCAATAATCTTCGCCCCTAAGTCATATGTCATCTCCATTTCTGTTGTCTATAGCGTCAGCTTTCCTGTCCTCGAAGCCACCCAGCCATCACTCAATAACCTCTCCCTCTCAATTCGTATCTCCACCACCTCTCCCTCAATAACCTCCGTCTTCTCAATTTTAAAACTGATCACTTTTCCAAGAGCCTGCATTAGCGCCTCGTTTTTCGATATCTCAACTGAATACAATTTGCTGCCTGCATCGCATATAGGGTCTCTTGGCCCAGGGATTTCGCCATGCCCATTGAAATGGCAGTCTTTCTGGTACCAGGATGCCCCATGAGTAGGATAGGGCGGCCAACAACTTTCCCTCATGTACCATCTCAATTATAACTTCAGTGGCCTTGCGAGCGAAGGCCTGGTCCACCATGCAATCAGAGGACTCTCGTGGTTCAAGGGCCGAGTCCAGTCTCAGGCCAAATTTTGAAAAAATTGTCATTTATCATTTGTAGAAGTCACAAATAACACATGAACACATATGGCAGCATTATTACACTTCCACTACTCATAAATAATAATATATAAACTTTGAATCATGAAAACAAATGTGATTATTAGCTCACAAACTTAACCAGAAATGCTTCGAAACAAGCATGACATTCACAATTTAAAGTAAAGCTTCTCCGAAAAATGGTTCACAAGACATATATACTACCATGATCTTCTTCGAAATCTTTCATCTTTCTATGTCAGGAATTACAATTCCTTGACACTAAATACGTAGGTCAAATATTAAAGGAACGATTACGAATTGCATAGATGAAAAGTATAATGCTGAAATAAAGTCTGCCATCATTTCCTTTTCTTTTCTTTCCATTTGAAAGTTCAAATTTGAACATGCAAGTACAAACTTAAATGCAAGCCCTGATTCTGTAAGCACCAGCAACTTGAGTATTTTCTTCGTTGGCTTACAATCTTGGAGTATTCAGAACAACGCCGTCGTTGCAAAACTCCACGAATTCCTGAATTTTTATGATAATAGTTAACGCCCTCGGGTATGTCAGGGCTCAGTCCTTTAATCCTTCTTTCTCCCCTTGATGGCTAGTAGTTTCTGTGCCTGATGATTTCAAATTTTCACTAGCCAATTTCTTACCCATTCTTCTTTGCTTTAGCTTGTTCTGTTTTGAGCAAGAAGCTAGTTCTCCTAAACAATCACAATTGTCAACATCAAAAAGAAAACCAAAATTAATTACAAATGCAACAATCCATAAAGATTAGTTTTTCCTAGCAAATGATCATATAGAATACAGGAGAGGACCTCAACCTGATTTTTTCATTATGGTATCCGTTTCCACAGAAGCATTTTGTCGAACACTCTCCGGTGCCTTTCCTGCAACACCATCGCCACCACCATTTCCACCGTCGTTTGCTTTAGACAACAAAGGCATCGGCCCAATAATCTTCCTGCGTTGACCAGAAGCTTCCTTAAGCTTTTTCCTGCGAAGCCGCTTCCTCTGCGCCCGCGTCAGCTTCTGAATGGCACCATTACAGTCCTCACCATCATGGTCTGAAGACGACGGATTTCTCTCCTCATCCTCCAACTCATCTGCATGCACAGCATACAACTATATCTCGTTAAATCGTTCTCAATTATACTGCAAAAGAAGCAGATATAGATGTTTAATCTAGTACTATTTTAACAAACACCTGGAATTTGATTCAAATTGACGCCTACCCCCAAAGATTTGATTGGTTTATTTTCTTCCTCCTCCTCCTCTTCCTGCGTCAATATAATACATCCAATACATAGATAACAGTAAACATATAATCAAGGGATAAAAATAAATGTAGTAACAGAATTTGGGAATACCTGAGGAGGAGGGGAGGGTGGGGGAGGATAAAGCATTTTAAGGAGGGCCTCATGGAACTTCCGTTCTTTCTCCTTCATCTTCTTCGAGGACTCTTCAATCATCCAATTACCAGTTACCAAAACAACTAAGATTGATTTTAACAGTAAGGCTTATTAATCGTCAATAAAAATTATATTTGAAATTACTATTTTATAAAACATTTTCCCAAAAATACTTTTTTTAATGGAAGACAAAAGGATGCACAATCATTTTCCTTAAACCAACGTTTTAAAAATTGGAAAATTTAAAAGGAAATATTTTTGAGTAATTCATAAACCAGTCATTTGTGCATAATACAAATTACAAAACAAAATGAGGGGGGAGAGATACTATTTCATCAAGCGATAGACATTAAAATTTAGATTTTAGTTTAAGTAACAGCTAGTGAAAATCCGGCGTGAATCCTTCTTGTTCCAAACAGAAAACCCCAAACCCTAAGCTAACCTAGCAACTATGAAACTTTACAATTTAGTCCCTAAACTTTTATAAATATTCAAGTTGGTCAATTTGTTCACAAAATCGCCATACAAAATATAAACTTAACATGATTGGTTTAGCTGCCTACAATTGATAGGGACAAAGAGAATTCTGATTAATGTGTAAAAAAAGTTTCATATTGTACTCCCCCAAACCCCTTCCGACCAAATTTTTTTTGTCCCAATATTCGATTTCGGCATACCAAGTTGTATTTATGAGGAACCATGTGAATCGTATTAATTCTTGATGCTAATATGTTATTTTAAGTTACTTTGAACTTTAGACACATTTCACAGTTTAATATGTGAGCATTTGCATTTCAGAGACCCACAGAAGTACGAAAGTCAGGATCTTTCAGAAAACGGATTCATATTCGAAGAGTGCATAATCTCATGGATAAGTTCAAACTAATCCGTCAATTTGGGATCCATTTGATATTTTCCTTAGGAGATATCGGGAAGGAATTGGATGGATCCCACGACATTTCATTTACACATTTCATTAACTTTTATCATAATTTATTAAAAATCTAATTTTAATTTTCACCAAACGAGGACTAAAAATAATGCTATTTAACTCCTGTCTTTATTAAGCATTAGACAATATCACTGGACAATATCACTCTCCCATCGTGAAGTTCAAATTTTTTTGGACAATATAATAGTGATCCGACTTCCATATAAATGGGTATTTAACACCACTTAGGATAGATGACATGTTTCACCGATCAAGCCCGACTCATCTAACATATTCATACTTAATTATTTTTAATAGATCGACGACCAAATATTTGTATATGTTTGCAAATCTTTTCATTGTCGAAGTTGATAATTCATTAGTTCGTACATCTATCCATCCAGTCTGCAAATATTTTTGAAACAACGCCAACAAAGGATCAAACAATCAATTTTGAAAGAGGTTAGTGATTTTTTTCAAATGTTAATTTATGATTCGAAAGGGAAGAAATTTCGTCAATAGCTAAATTTCAATTCAAATATGAGTTTTATTCACTCTCCCTGCTCTGAGAAATATTACCATCCGACAAAAGGATTAAAAAAAAATAGTCTTTTCATTTATATACCGTCTTTTGGGATTTTTTTTTATTGGTGTTATGAAAATCGGACTAAACCCCTATTTGACACACATTATTTTTTTCATTCTGATTATTCTACTCATTTTCAACCACACATTTTTCAATCAAATAATATTTTCCATCACATCAATAACTTTTCCTTCTTTTTTAACCATATATTCTCTATCAAATCACTTCTATAAAATGCATTCTCTCATTTTAATATGCACCGAACACGACATAAATCGATTGATTGAATTGAAAATTGGCCCAAGATTTGGTTCAATCACGTGTTATTAACCGAGTATTGAAAAACAAGTCAAAAACCTTTAAATTGGGCGGTTTGATCACGAACCGGAAACCTGGTCATAATTATATCAGGATCATTTTTTTAAAAAAAAGCAAAGGAAATATACTATAAAAATGGCTCGAGAAGGCCATACTCGAAGTAGTTATCTTAGCTAGATATTTGAGTCTACCGCCAATCCTCCCCCAATGCCATTATCAATCTTACGATGTGGGACAGAAGAAAAGAAACAAAAGTGATTCAATATGAAAAGAGGACGAGTTCATGAAAAGGAGAGATTGGAGTCCGAAAAAAATAAATTTTCGAATTGTTCATTTTCAGAGATGTTTGTGTTTATTTTGAGTGAAAACGTCACGGCAAGCAAAACTCATTGGCTCTATCCATGATGTACAGCGTGTTTCAATCCAATTCCTGTGTTTAGGGCCCCGTAAACGCTTTTCTCATTTTTCGGTATAATTTTCTTAATTTTAATTAGATTAGGATTTTAATTCCTTTTAGAATTTGATTTTATCTTTTATTCCTATGGATTTTATATAGAACTATAATCCATATAAACGTTGGGGTATTAAAGTTAAATTTCCAGGGCACTTCATTTATCTGCGTTCTCTATTTTCACGTTGTTACAAATAATATATTATATTTATGTGGCTAAGTTTAATATGACGTATATAATCTGCATGGAAAGAAAATAAATTCTAAATAATTCAATTGCCTAAAATTTATTTATATGAAAATTATTAATTAAATGTTTTTGATTGATTTAGTTTTCAATCTAAATAATATTATACATGTTCATTTTTTATTTGTGAGCAGATGAGAGAGGAGATAGCTGAGATAGAGAAAGAGAGAGAGAAAGATTTAGTGAATTACCTGAAAAATAAAAATCAAATCTCCCTAAAGAAATTATTTTCCTTGTTTTCAAGGAAAATATGATCAAATGATCAAACGTAGAAAAATATTTTTAGTGAAAAAAAAATTGTCGATCAAACAGCACAAAAGTGGGAAATTAGGTAGAAAAAAACACATTTTTCATGAAAAATGTTGACAATCAAAATAAAAAACTTAAGGCAAAAAGAGTTTTCAAGTGACTGAAGTAAAAACATTTAATAATTTCCCGAGTTAAGAGGTGATTTGATAATGATTAATACTTATTAATTTACAAAAGTAGTTGAGTTTTGAATCAAATTTTATTTATTATTATATTGCTCAGTGCAATATATTAGTCTCGTTCCATTTGGTAAACGACTTGTTTATTAGCTTGGATAATGAACTCTACATTTCTTTACTAATTATGTGATAATTAGCACGATGCATGTACGCGGACTTACGATGAGCATGTTCGGTAGAGATTAATATTAAAAAATTAGTCGTCATTATTTATTTTTATTATACGAGTGAGACCCAACCATTTTCTTACACAAAATTTGTAAAATTGTCATTGTCGAGCACCGTCTCATCAATCATATTTCTCTTGAATGGAACATGCTAGAAACAAACAAAAAACCCTATCACGTAAGTTCGTGATTAATGCCCAAAGTATTTTGTCTTCCATTAAAATTAGTTTTTATCTATTTTTTTTTTTTTTTGGGGAGAAATTGAGTTATGAAATAGTGATTTTTTGAAAAATGTATAGTTAAAAGGTAGAAAAATATTTTATCGTATGAATGTGGTTAAAAATGAATTCGAAAAAAAAATAATTTTGATTTAGTGGAAGACGAACGGGGACTCATTCATTTGGCACTTTGTTGCCAACTACTAATCAACATGCATTACTTTACACAACGACGAAAAATTTGTGACTGTATGAATGTGTGGTTGGAAATGAGTTTGAAAAAAAAAAAATTTGATTTAGTGGAAGGCGAACAGGGCCTCATTCTTTTGGCATTTAGGAGGAGAAAAGATGAATTTTATTTCACTTTCTTGGCAACTACTAATCAACTTGCTTTACTTTACACAACGACGAAAAATTTGTGACGAATTCAGTGTAAAAGATACAAAATCTGTTCAATAGAAAATAAAGAGTTTTGGCAATTATTTATTACAATTAGTAACTGAAAAACATATCAATATAACATAGTATTGAATTTACTTTGTTACTAATAATTTAAGTTAGTACCAAAATGAAACCATTTTCAAAGCTTGTTTACTATTCCATACACGAGTGTTTTGAATCAAATGTTATGTCGAACGTGCTGAGAATCAGGAAATCAAGAAAATTCCATACATAAAAACTAACAACCAAGTAGTTTTTAAATTTTTATGCCTATTTTATTTAACTAAAATATTCCAGATTTATATATTCTCAAATAGATAATCATAATACATTAGTATGTATATTACAGCTCACAGAGTCAATGGAAGGCAGAAAAAAGCCAAATTTTCCTTACAGTATTCTTCAATATTTTGTTCATCTTGATCAAATTATTCAGAACATTTTACTTCTGCTGGAAGGTGCATAGCTTCTACTTCTTGGATACAATTTCGGGTTTATCGCCAAGTCTTCCACAAATTCACAGGGTTTCTCTTCATCAATCCTCCCAATAGCAATACTATGTGAACGAGGCACAACCTTTAGCGCTCCAGATGATTGTTTAGACCGGAGAATCTCTGCCTGGATTTTTCCGGGGAGACTCCGGGTAGAAGAAGCCCTGACAAGTTCCCGGAAGTCTTCATCGGAGCTTGACACTGATGAGTTAACACTGAAACTTCTAGGTAAACTCGTGATTTGCGGGGCTGGACACCCCATGGCGCTGGCATGAGTGAATTCTCCAGCGCAACTCAACATGCTTTTAACATATAAATCCCTGGCTTTGGACAAAACCCTAATGGGGGCTTTAATGAATCTGCTGATTTTGCTCTCTTTTGGGCTCATTTTTCTGGTTTAGAAGTTACTTTTTTCTTTTTCCCTCTATACTTGATTAGTTTTTAGCTTGTGAAGAATGCGCACAGAGGATGTTTTTAATATAACAAGTATTGGAGTAGATAACGAGGGAAAGATGGGTGGAAACAACCTAAAACTTGTTTGGAAGGGAGAACCCTAGTTTAAAAATGAATGATCAAATTTTAGAGTCTATCCGAGCCCCCTTTTTTGCCCAAAATGCATTCGGGAATGGTATTTTGATGGTAAACATGTAGTCTAAAAATAAGGAAAATTTTTTATTTTACGTATAATATTATTTTATTGAATACTGTGTAATTAAAAATAAAAGAGAAAAATATATTTTAGAACTAATGGGAACCAAACGAGGGCATAGTGTTTGTCAAACTATTTCAAGAGATCTATAATTTTTATCAACTTTTTAATCAAACTTTTTATCTTTGAAATTTGATATCAGAAACTTTGCCAAACAACCCCTTGAGCTACACTATTTATATACGTAACGAAATACCTCATTTGGATTAATGCTGCTTCATGATTCGAATATGGATTTGAAAGTATATATTTCTTTCATTCGCATTATCAATTTGGCGTGGGTTTCTTTATTTCGTTTTCGGTTTTAAGTGTTGATGCTTTTGCAAAGTGTGGACCATCGACTTGCACTGTTTGGGCACAATAGCACCAATGATATAGCTGGTGAGGATAAAAATTCAAAGATTTTGGACACCGATATCAAAATAAAATAAAATAAAAATATTCAAGATAAGAACAAGTCTCACAGAAAAGTTAGAATGTTTTTTGTTTAATCAAATTCGCAGGTAGAGTCCGATCATTTTACAAATGAAGGCTATAAAATTAAAATCTCTAATTTTCCGATCAAAGTGGAATTTGAGTCCCTTCGACCTTTTCCTCGGAGATTTTCTCTTCCATTGCCAAAGAATTGAAGTTACTTCTTCGTCTAAACTAGTAATTTTTTTCCCTCTCGCGCATGTGCGCACAACATTTTCTTTACCAAATATTATGACTTTAAGAAGTGCCAGAACATAGAATCGCAATAAAAGGGACTTTACTGATTTTTTTTTTTATATATATATAAATTTTTAAATTTATTCAATCTTTTGATAATTGTCAATCATAGTGCAATATCCATAAATATGCCTTTTACACCCACAGCATGATACAATCTTTAGGCTGGCTGACGTTGATTGATAGTTTGAATTATTCAAATAAGGTGGTTTCTCTGACTTTCAATATCTGCCAATTTTGTTATATTGCAATTTTTTTGACTGGCTTAATTTCAAACTTTTTTGATTTACTTGGTATAAATTTTCTTTAAATCTTGTCTAAAAAATCTACATCAAACAGACCCTTAATTTATATTTTGTTTCATACATATACTATCAAAATAAAAATAATATGGAAATATGAATGATGACTAACGTAAATTTTGATTACGAATCAATCTTGTGATAAACTAGGCATAAAATATGAGCAAGTGACCAAAGTCAACTGACAGTATGACCTTGTTCTCATTGAAAAACTACAATAATAACGTAAATATTTGCAAATTGGAGAGTATGTGTATGAATTCAAACTTTGATTCATACCTAATCTAATTTAATCCAATATATGATTCAGTGCTGGCTTGAAAAAAAATGAAAAAGTATAATTTTAACCATATATTCATGAGATATACAACTTTTATCAATATTTTAACCATACTTGTTATTAACGTTATCAAATTTTATAAAAAAATGTATCAGAAGTTGTGTCAAACAACCTTTAAGTTTTTTAGTATGTCTTAAGTCACATTCTATTTTTGTACGCACACAAATACTACTTCATTTGTTAGATATCACTCTTAAGCTTGAGTGGCCTATAAGATTAGTATAAGCCAAATGACCACTGTTAGAATTTGGGCGTGACTTGAATTATTTGTTAAAAATAATTGGAAATTCTAATTAAAGTGCAGATTAAGAGGAATTCTATTTGAAATCTATAATTGAATCTTATTCAAGTTTATTTGGTAATTTATGGTTGAAATTTTATATAAAAGCCATATTGAAAGTTGAAATTTGTGTTGGTCTTGAAGATGTTGAAATTATGGAATTAATGGTTTTCTCGATGCATATTCGCTAGCCTGGGTGCTTGGCACTAGCCTACTGTTCGATCGTTAGGGCGGCGCTAGCTGCCAGCTTGAGCGGTGGTGTTTCCGACTCAGACCTCACTTTCGCATTTTTACGAATTTTCTTGCATTCAACTTTCACCTATAACTTTACTATTAGAGTTTGGATGTCTCATATTTCTTCCCTATATATAGTGGCTCTTCATTATGATTTAGATTAAATTAGACAAGCTGTAAATACAAACCTTTAAATTATTTCTCCATATTATAATAACATCTCCCTTTGCAAATTACATTATTTTTGTATTTTTGAGATCTTCACTTTATATTGTGGCTATAACCTCATATTTTTTTCAAAAAATTTGTATTTGAGCTTTTGACTTTGAAATTCTTGGAAAAATCGAGGTTTTGATCAAGTTAATAACTCAACTTGATCTTTCATGATGGCAACAGTGAAATATAATATTTCGTTATTAGACCGCAATGCAAGATTCTCTTTGGGCAGGTAAAGAGGCGATCAATACTCGCTTAGATGGGTTTAGACGATTTGTTGTTGGGATTTGACGAGTTGCCCACAATTTGGATTCTGGAGGAGAAACAACGGAGGGATCGCAAAAAATACCAGGTGCTGGCTCGGCCACTGGAGCTAGATCTAATCAATTTTAAGGAACTAGTTCAAAAGCTCACAGCTGAATCATCTAAGTTCCAGCCTACACAGCAAAAGGTGGCGCCACCCGCCACTAAGCCTCTTTCTTCCAAGGTAGCAAATGCCACTTGTCAATCCTTCAACTACACCCCAGAGACCATCAGACACTTCTGGAACAATTAGTCCTGTTGGGATCAGCTTGTCGCTATCATCTTTTGCAATAGCGGAGCTAGCACCCAGCGAGAATGTGCGGCCGCCTGTGCTGGCTCTGCCGGAATTTATAGGTTGAAACTTGGATGCAAACTTGCAGAGCCGTCGGTCGGAGTGAAGAGCAGTGATGAATTGATCGGGAAGATGAGTTGTTGGGCCATTTTCTAAATAAAAATTGTGGGCTTTTTGTTAAGTTGGTTTTTTTTCCTCTTTTTAACATGGGAACAATACATAAATCCTATATGTAAGGAGTAAGATTACAAAAATAACAAACTTCAAAAATCTTTTCAAAAATCAGGTGTTAAATCAATCAATTAAATATTTTTAATACAATTACCCCAATTTATTAAATNAATCAATTAAATATTTTTAATACAATTACCCCAATTTATTAAATTTCAAATCCAAATCATTCTCTCTCTCTCTCTACTCTCTATCTTCTCCCTACCCCTTCTCTCCATCGGAGGCGGCCATCTACTCCGGCGGCCGCTCCAATGACAGTTCCGGCGGTCGTTCTGGCGACAGTTCCGGCGATCTCTCCGGCTGCCGCTCCGGTGGCAATTCCAACGACCGCTCCGGCGACTATTCCGAAGATCACCCCAATGCTCTCTTCGGCGGCTATTCACGATCCCTCTGGCAAACTTCTCCAATGACCACTCCAACGCATGCTCCGATCAACCTACCCACCCATTCCCAACTTTCAAAAAAATTCCAAAATTTCAAGTCACAATCGGTCATAATTGGTCACAAACGGTCACAACGAGTCACAATTAACCAATCACAATCGGTCACAAACTGTCACTGGATGCTGTTTTTAGAAAGTGGATGAGCTTGTTTAATCAAACAAAACATGGGCAATAAACAAAACAATCTGCACATCGAATTGGATCAAAAAACCACTTCAAATTGAAGTCGAAAGTTGTTAAAATTGTAGTCTCCTATATCCGGTGCTAACTAGCTGAACAAAAACTTCAGTTAGTCTAATTGGGATCTGGTCATAGATCAGAAAAGGTTCGCCATTATACCTCATTTTCCACCACCACCACCGCCCAAAAACCATTGCAAACAACACCTCAAACGCCCAAAAACCATCACAAACGACACCACCAGCAAACCACCCACACCCTTAAATCGCACCGACGACAACATTCACTTCATGGCTGCAGACGACTCTCGCGGTTGTCGATGGGTAGTGGAGCGCATCGACGACTGGATCGACGTTGCTGCAGATCCACCACCACCTGTAGCACCAACCACCGCCACCATTCACAGCGTCGCCATCTCCGAACAGTACCAACGTCGACGGCTGGGGTGATGGGGCTGGGAGACGACGGCGAACGAAGCGGCAGAGCTGTGCAATGGAACGACGATGGGCGATTCGCCGGTGATTCTCAAGATGGCGACGGGCAATAGAAATGTAGAGAGAGAGGGGCGACGGGTTGGGATGGTTCTGGAGAGAGAGTGGTCGGTTGGGAGAAATTATATATTGTAATTAAATTTTTATTAATTATAATTATTGAAACTTAATTATCACCTGATTTGTGAAAAAAAAATTAATCCACCTATTTCTTGAAAATGAAATTTTAAAAGTAGGTTTCTAAGTAATTTTCTCTTTTAACATTAGAACCATTACCAAAGGCTTGTTGAGGTTAAAACATTTCCCCCTAAGTGTAATACAGAAAGTAAACCAAATCGGCAGCAACCCTATCTCTGATTCTAAGCTCCCACTCGCAGCCCCGACTTGCAGATTGCTATGTTGGCGCCAACGTTTGCCCAATTGAAAGTCTCAATTTCGAGTATGAATTGAATTTTGCTACTGTTTCTAATTTTTTGTCACAGTTTTGCTGGTGGTTATTTGAGGTTCTTGATTTAGAATTTGTTTTGGAACTCTATATTTGATGTACTTTTTTTTCTGTAGGGTGTCGTGTGTGCGTGCGCTTTCTTTTATGTTGGATAATTCACCTCATTTCTGAATTTTTTTATTCATTGTTCTGTTTTCACATTTACAATTTT